ACCGGACCGGGACCGGCAACGGGATCGCAACCCTCGGTGCTGCGCCCGCCCCTCGCTCAGCCAGTGAGCGGGAACCGGTCTGTATGTGGGATCCGAACCCTCGGCAGGAGCACCACCGCACTCCCAAGCGGCGCACTGTAGCAGTGCGCCACCAGGCCGGCCCTATTTTTATTATAATTATATTTCTATTTGAAACCTGCTACTCTTTTTTGAAGCACTGTTTTCAGTCATAGGTATCCTTGAGATTTATGAAAATAAGTTAAAGTACATGCCAATGAAATATAGAATCCTAAACTATAGGTGTTGGCATGCCCTACCTCCCAAATCATGTTTGGATTGAATTTTCATTCATATTCTTAACTAAGTCTACACTTGACACCTACAACCTTTTTACAGACAACTTGTACTATAGATAAATGAATGGCTTCCTATGATTTTAAAGAGTAGTAAGGCTTATCTGGTCATTTTGAACTACAGAGGTTTAGGTAGGTAACTGGTAGACATGTTTTGAAGGCATTAATCCAATATTTTCCATATTTCTCTGAAGTCTTAATATAGATTCTAATTTTAATTGATGTCTTTCTTTTTGTGGCTGGCCAATACAGGGATCCAAACCCTTGGCCTTGTGTTATAATAATTGATGTCATTTTTGACTAAGAGGTTTATTTTGGATCCATAGCTCTTAAATTTAATAAATTGTTAAAAAAAAAAAAAGAACATTCTTGAATATGTTATTAAAGTGCTATAACAATTAGAGACATGTAAATCACCCTCAATAGACCTCGGCTCCTTTGAGGACTCAGTAAATGGCAGGTATTATTTTTATACATAATAATATTAAAAAGTAGCATTGTGGAATTTATAGTGAATATAGAACCTTGCAATATATCCATATTGGCCCTTTAGAAGGATTTAATATTAGGACTCTACTTGTGATCCCCATTAAATTTTAATACTTTTTTATAGAATCCCAAAACAAAAGAGCAGATTGAAAATCTGTTACGGAATGGGATGAACAAGGAGCTGCGAGATCGTCTTTGTTGCCGAATGACTTTCGGGACTGCAGGACTTCGTTCTGCCATGGGGGCAGGGTTTTGCTATATTAATGACCTTACAGTAATACAATCAACACAAGTAAGTATTATAAAGTATTATATGTGTACTTTTTCCTCACTCAAGTTTTTGCTTTATAAATTAGGAAGTGTCTTTCTTTAAAAAAAAAAAGGTTTATGTACAGGAAGATACTTTCATGTAAGTAAAAACTACAGACTAAATTCTGACCGTTGCTTTTGCCCAAGATTTGTGTATCTTCAAGGTCACATTGGATTTAATGATTACTAAATCAATGTTTCTGTGGTATTAAATGTATCTGAAAATCCAGGAAATGTCATCTCACATTTTGGACATAATGTAGGAAGAGTATTGCACCCACGATAGTAAACATGGGCATGAAGACAGAAGTCAATTCCCTAGGGGCCAGTAAGTTGCTCATCAAACATAAAAATAAGAGATTCTAAGTCATGTAAAATGCGTTCATCAGGAACTAATCTTTTGTGTTTATTTACTTCAGGGGATGTACAAATACCTTGAGAGATGTTTCTCAGACTTCAAAGAGAGAGGCTTCGTTGTTGGGTATGACACTCGGGGTCAAGTAACTAGCAGCTGCAGCAGCCAGAGGTAGAACATTAATTGTATCAAAGATTAAGTCGGAGTGGAATAAAACATTAAAAAAAATTTTTTGGCCCAGTAGTAGGATTTCTGAAACAGGGACTGTCAAATAGAAGTGTGATCACATACTAATGTTTATTTTAGAGCTGAAATAGAAGAAAGATAAGCTTTAGATTTTATAGAAGGGAGTAAAATCTTAAGGTATTTAAAGTTCATATTTAGAATGACATCATATCTTACATTATAATTTTAATATTTTGGTAAAGGCACTGGGTAGGAGTAATTATATAGCTTGTATTCCCTCATTATAGTCCTATTTGATTAATTTTAGAGTTTTTCATGAATAGATAATCATGATGTAGTGACGCATTTTTTCAGGGAGTAATTATAAATATTGGTTTTACCAGTCTCTTATTTCACTTTGCTCCATTCTTTTTGCCTTTTGCAGATTTTATTTCTTATTAAAAGAGCCATCAAGGGGCCGGCCCGGTGGCGCACTGCTGCAGTGCGCCGCTTGGGAGCGTGGTGGCGCTCTCGCTGAGGGTTCGGATCCCACATACAGACCGGTTCCCGCTCACTGGCTGAGCGAGGTGTGGGAGCAACACCGAGGTTTGCGATCCCGTTGCCGGTCCCAGTCCGGTACGGGCACGACACTGAGGGTTGCGATCCGTTGCCGGACACGAAAAAAGACAAAAAGGAAAAAAAAAAAGAGCCATCAAAAGATGAATGAGGAAAAAAGAGGAGATTGAAATGTCAATTCTGTTTATTGTTCAGCTCCTTTTTTCAAAAAATCTTATTTAACATTTTTTATGTTGGAGCATGAAGCTTAAATAATCAATGATTATAAGAACTGGTTGTGTTAGGCTACTTTATATTCATAATAATTGTAACATAGAATATTTATTATGTGGAAGGTTGGTTTTAAAAATTACAATTATGGTAAGCTAAATGAAATCTCCTTTTTTTTTTTAGGCTTGCTAAACTCACTGCTGCAGTCTTGTTGGCTAAAGATGTTCCTGTGTACCTTTTTTCAAGATATGTTCCTACACCTTTTGTAGTAAGTGTGTTGTGTTAGTGATGCTACAGTTTGTTGCTCTCGAAAAGATTTCTTAAATCAAGTAGGATTCAAATCTTTGTCATGCATATATTTCTGTATTGAGTGATATGAGGGACAAAAGGAAGGAAAACAAATTTTGCTTTGAGTTTATTTTCATTCAGTAATCATTTGTCAAACCACCTAAGAACTTGATCTGTATAAAAGTTGACTAGTCCACAGTCATGGTGGGATATTTTAATACTCTTCTTTCTGTGGGGTATACATAAAGCAAATGTATTTCACAGGGCCTGGTTTTCCAAAGCCCTGCAGTTTCAAATATTAACCTTGCAAAAGACAGGAAATTTTCCCCAGGCTACGGTCTCTGTTGTAAGATAAAGAATTGTAACACAGCAAGGTTGCTGGCTCAAAGACAGACAGGTTACTGATTGATATGTAAAGATACTGGGAAATTGCTGTAAGAAGAGAATGTTCACTAAGATCAAGTTTTTGTTGGCAGATGAACTTAACTTCTTGAAAATTGCATTATGGAATGTCACCTTGCTTGTTTTACTGAATGTTACCAGCTTCTATTGTTAAATTTATTAAACTATACTTAACAAAAACCCCACCTATGTCCTCTTCCTGTAACTTCCTGGTCTGGAGAATAAATGCAGGAAGAGAACCCCAATTCGTGGTTAATTTCCCAAATGGAAGGAATGCCTCTATCTTGAGGGTTCTGGGAGATCAACCCCTTTTCGGGGCTTCTCACTGCTCAGAAGAAATGGGCTTCAAGTAATCTTTGGCAGCTCCATCACCCAGGGGAAAAAGGATGACAAATCCATGGGAATCAAAGTAACACTTTCAGAAACTGATTTATCAGGAAGACAAAAATTATTAAGGATAGATTTGAACTGTTGGGCTTGATCTGGTGTGGGTGTGGGTGTGTGCGTGTGTGTGTATGTGTATAAAAACCCTATATTTGGTGATGGTAGAATATACATTATTATTAAGCAGAGTCATAAATGAAGTCTCAAAAAATGCCAGGGAACTGCTTATCAAGCCATGTACCTGGACCCCAATGCAATAAAATTTGAAATTAAAAAAGGCCCACAAAATCCGTTTGGAATTTTAAAAACACATTCATAATAATTCAAGGACTAAAGAAGATATCATAATGAAGATTAGAAACTACAGGCAGTTCTTGCTTGACACAGAAGTGCAGGGATGTAAAGACAGCTGTCCAAGCTAAAACCATGCAAAGTGATCTCTATAATCAATGGAAAAAATAATGATTGTTCCATGATCATTAATTTTTTTTTTCCAAAACATTAAAAATACCCTTACTCTTGGTTAAAAATATGTAGAGAAAGGGAAAAAATTGTAAAATGAATATTTTTTAGCACATTGTAATTTAAAACATTAGAAACATTGAGATCTAAAGTGTTTTGTTTCTTTGTAAAAAAAAAAAAGTTATTAAGAGGTTGAATTTTTTAAAAAGCACGAGTAGTGCTTCCTTCTCATATAACAAGCAGGGACTCTTTTCTATGCCTTAGCAATTGTTACACACATTTCTACGTTTGGATCAGATTCCAACATTTCATCCTTTGTTACTTTCAGTGTTGTGAAATATCTTTAAGAGTTCTTTAATGTAAAGTTTATTTGCTGGTGTCACTTCCTCTAGGACATTTTCATCCTTTTCATCACAGCCCATTTCTCATTTAGTACTTATGTTCGTCTTCCCTAAACTCCCCTGGTTGCATATCTAGTCTCTTGAATAGTAGCAGTGTCAACATTCCCAGCTATTTTTTCTATAACTCCATTTATGTTTAGTTCAAATTCCCTTCCACCATTATCACTTTTTGTTTCTTTGCTGCACTTTTATCTTTGTTGGCCAAGTCCCACTTTCAATTACCCATTTTTGTAAACTCTCATGTTGGTTTATCACTGGGAGACAGGGAGGCAACTCAGCTACATGCTTTGCTGTCTGCGTGAGAGCTGAATAACATGCACAGTGACCAATCACTGATAGACTTTAAAAGAGTGACATGATTGGTCATGGTTCATGGAGGATCTGTTGTATACATTGTGATTTGTGGACTGAAGAGCTGGCAGCCAAGTTTGAACTTGATGCAGTTACTCACAATTAATACACCATGGTAACTGAAAGTTGAATGTGCTGTTGGGAGATCGGTGCTATTTAATGAAAACATGGTATCAGAAATTTGTGTATATTGGAACTGTGCAAAGCAAGGACTGCCTGTATTTAAAACTGAGCAATAATGGAAACAATAACTACCAAAAATTATGGAATATTAAGGCGCTACTTAAAGGGAAATTGATAGCCTTAATGAATATATTAGGAAAAAAATGTTTAAAAATTATGAATGCCATATTACTTTAAGATTGTTTGTTTGGGAAATCTTGCACTCTACAATTCGTAAGATGAACAAACATGTTCTGAAGATCCAGAAAGAGTTAGAAGAAGCTAAAGAAAAACTCGCAAGGCAACACAAACGGGTAAGTCTTGTGTTAATTTGTAAATGGCTAAAGAAGGTGTACCAGAAACTGGAGAAATTCAAAGTCCATTACCTTGATGGTAATTTATTTGTTCTGAGTCCAAATTATTCAGAGCTATTTGCAAAAGCAGAGGAGGAGAAAGGAGCAAGCAGTCTGCTATACTTCGTGGTGAACCTCTTTATGAAGGCACAAACTTTACTTTTTCTATAGTTCACTATCTCTGGGTCATCTTCGTGTTTGCACTTCCTAAAAGGGAAGGAGGAGAAGGGAAGAGGACACTTGTATTTCTGTGAGAGTCTCTGGTGCAAGAGGGGAAGAGGGAGAAGATTGTAGATGCTTATCACTTCCCTAGCACTATGAGCAGGGATGGGGCAGTTATTCCCAGGTTTACAAAATACTTCTCATAGTAATAAGTTGTTTAGTATTTTAGCCATTTTGGAGGGAGGCAGTGAGCTGGCTGCACTCTATGACTTAACATGATTGTACCAGTATTCTTCATGATAGTATTTTCCAGTGTTATGCATATTTACCAGAGCAGCAGTGGGAAAAAATCAAGTTTAATGACTTCTATGAATCTATAGTAAGTTTGAATGCCAGTGTCCATATATACAAATATGGATGTAAAAACACACTCACAGACCTAAAATACTGGAAGGTAGAGGGTTGTCCCATTTTATAGATGTATAAAACAAGACTCAGAGAGGTTAAGTAACTTGCTCAAGGTTACATAGCTAGTAAGTGACAAGAGTTAGGTTCTGACCCAGGTTTGTCAGAGTCCAGAGACTTTCCCTCATGCCACACTATTCTCTAGAAGTGTGCTGTCCAACACAGTAGCTGCTAGCTACATCTATTTAATTAAATGCAATTTTAAATTGAGTTCCTTAGTCACACTAACCACATTTCAAGTGCTCAGTAGTCACATGTGGCTAGTGTCTATTGTAAGGGGCAGCACAGATTTATATAACATTTCCCTCCTTGCAGAAAGGTCTATTGGATAGTAGTGTTCTAAAACCTTACCTTAGAGTATGTTATGAAAAGACAAATCATTTACACACGATGGCAAACCTCATAACAGGTGCTGTACCAAAAAGAAAAGCAGAGAAGAGTTGATAATTTTGCTTAAAGAGTGGAGATGGCTATCATAGATGGGGCAAAAAAAAAAAAAAAAATTATGAAATAAGCCTTTAACTTAATATGTTTGTGCAAAACAGAATAAATCCAAATAAAGTAAAAGGAAGGAAATAATAAAGGTATGAGGAAAAATCAAGTAAATAGAAAATAAAGAAAGAGGATATCAACAAAAGCAAATGCTAGATCTCTGAAGAGACTAACATAAAACTCTGGAAAGGGTGCCAAGGAAACAAAGAAAGAAAGCACAAATAAAGATATAAAAAAGAGTGCACAATAAATACAACAGAGATGAAGAAAATCACAATATTCTGAACAACATAATGCAAATAAATGTGAAAGCTTAAATGAATTAGCCAGTTTCCTAGAATAACAATTGATGCATCAAAATTGATAGGAAATAGATAACCTGAATAGACCCATAACTATTAAATAAAAATTATTATACTTTTAAAATCTTCTCATTAAAAGTACCAGGTCCAGATGATTTTATATGTAAGTTTTACCAAATATTTGAGGAATAGATAAGGTCTCTGTAAACTGTTCTGGTGATTTATTGGAAATATATTTAATGGCTCAAAGAATTGAAGTAATTACTAAACAGTTAGCTCTAATGAACAGCAGAAACCAGGGAGGATTCAGAAATCTAGACCATTTCTGTAGGATTCTGATTGTATTCACCATTCATGTCTCCAGGGTCTGGTGGAGTGTCTGGCATATAGTAGATGTTCATTAAATATTTGTTAAATGAACAAAAGAATAAGAAATGTTTACAGGACTAAATTAAAGGAGAGTAGGGGCAGAAAGCCATTCAGTCTAACAGTTAGATGGTTATTGAATCCTGTGTTTTGGGAATGGAGCCCACCCAATGAACCTGGAGTCAATGAAGTCATTTATACCATAATGTCTTTTCCTGTTATTTAATCAAAGCTATTCTCATGTCAAATGTATGAGTAGCTAGGAAGCAAAGTGGAGTTATGTTGTTGTTATTTTTTCAGCCATATGCAGTCCAGGAGCTCAAAGCAGTTGCAGGTGTAATGATTACTGCATCTCACAATCGCAAGGAAGACAACGGATACAAGGTAAACCCTGGACTCCTGACCTTTGCTTATTTTACAGTTCTTTTTTTTATTCAAATAATATGTTCTGAGTATATTTTCTACACTAGGGAGCAGGGCTAGACATTGGGAACAAAAAGAGAAAACCATCGAGGCCAGCCCTCAAAGAACGTGTATCCATAACAACCCTAATTACTTCTCAACATGTACAATTACAGAAGTCTCTTACTTGGTCTTTTTACTTCTAATTTCCTTGATTTCTCTATTGATCCCAAATCCATCCTCTCTACCATTTCAGAAAAAAAGTTACATTATTCCAAGAGCTCGAAGAATGATGGGAGTTTTCTGGAAGAGAGCCAGACCTCTTCTTGACCTCACTCTCCCCTCCCTCTGATCAGCCAGATGATCTTTTAAAACATAAACAGGTCATAGCACATTCCTGCTTAAAGTTCTTCAGTGGCTTCTCCTTCTTTGAATAAAACCCAAACTCCTTACCTTGGAGCTTAAAGCAGTCTGCATGATCTGTCTCCTCCGTACTTCTTCATTTCATCCTTTTTTCTGTGCTCAGTACGTTCCAGTCACACAGCTGTTCCTTTCTATTCCTCCAGTTCCTTCAATATTCCAGCCCTTTGTCACCTTTTTTTTTTTTTTTTTTTTTTTTTCCC